TTGTATGTCATAGTTGCACATCCTTCTAGTTGCTGTATGTGGGACGCGGCCTCAGCATGGCTGGAGAAGCGGTGCATCGGTGCACGCCCGGGATCCGAACCCGGCCGCCAGCAGCGGTGCGTGCGCACTTAACTGCTAAGCCACGGGGCCGGCCCTCAAGCTCTTTTTCTTTGTCTTTTTTTTGTGTGTGTGTGTGTGTGGAAGATTAGCCCTGAACTAACATCTGTTGTCAATCCTCCTCTTTTTGCTGAGGAAGATTGGCCCTGGGCTAACACCCATGCCCATCTTCCTCTACTTTTTATCTGGGATGCTGCCACATCGTGGCTTGATAAGTGGTGCATCAGTGCGCACCCAGGATCTGAACCTGTGAACCATGGGCCACCGAAGCACAGCATGCAAACTGAACTGCTGAGCCACCGGGCCAGCCCCCTCAAGCTCTTTTTCTAAATAGCTTTCTCTATTTGGAAATTATTCTCCTCAGCATTCAGCTGCCTCAGACCCCCTGAGCTGCAATCTCCATTTCCTCAACTCAATGAGACTGCCATACACAGCTCAGTATCCCCCTCCCTGCTCTGTGGTTCCAAAGGTGCCTCCAGGTAGAAGCCCATGCAATCACAGGGGGCTCCACATTTTTTTTTTCCTCTGGGACTACAATCTTGAGCTGCCTATTGTCCAATATCTGAAAGCCATTGTTTCATATACATTTCTAGTTTCTAGTTGTTTTAGATGGGAGGGTAAGCCTTATCCCTGTTAATCTATCATCACTGGGAGTGGAAGAGTTGATATGCTTTTCCTTCTTGACTTGGGTAATTACAGAAATATAGACTTAAATAAGTTACAGAAATTAGTTTTGTCGATTTTCCTGATGTTTATTGCAAATATTCCCAAAATGCAGAAGTTATGACAAAAAAAATAACCATTGTTAGTATTTTGTCATGTGTCTTCACAACTTTTGTCTATACTTGGTGAAACTCATAGATATGGGTTTATAACTCTAACTTTGTAGTGGATGGTGAAGCCTTTATAATTAAACAAACAAAAAAACCCCGAAAATAATTAATAAAAATCTAGGAATGGAGTTAGTAATGTTACCGTTATTTACAGATAATACAGTTACCTTTTTAGAAAGCCCAAGAAAATAAACTAAAAATGACTGGAAATGGTAAGATTTTTCAAAAATATTAACTAATATTAACTAATTAGAAAATGTAATGGAAAAAGATCTTGATTACAATAGCAACAAATATATGCAATGTCACATATATGTGTAAAAATCAAAGCTAACTTAAATTTTTTTAATATTCAGTGAGAATACTGTGTTCTCATTTGGGAACGTTTAATACTGGAAAGTTGTCCATTTCACACAAATTAAACTATAAATTATTTGTAATCCTCATCAAAATCCATATGGGACATTTTGGAACTAGGCAAAATGATTCTAAAAATCACTGAAAGAATAAAGTTTGAGAAGATGCAGGGAATATTTGAAGAAGGAGAGCAATGAAATGGGAGTTTCCCTACCAGATATTAAAATGTATAATAAAGTTACAATAATCACAATCGTATGGAACTAGTGCAGAAATAGACAAAACAGGCCAGTGGAACAAAAGACAAAGCCCAGAAAAAGTCCGAAAATATTCAAGAATGTATTGCAAGATAAAGTGGCATTTTAAGTCAGTGGGGAACAAACGAATTTGTTCATAAATAAATTTGAATTTACTATCTAATATATTTGGGAGCAGGGGATATGTGAGGAGTTAAAACATAATTTACGTCAGAATAAATCCAGGTAGATTAAAGGCTTAAATGTAAAATATGACGCTTATCAAGGGGGTGGGGAAACAGGCGCTCTCATATATTTTTGGTGGAGAGTAATTTGTATAGCTCTTTGGAGGACAATTTGGCAATATCTATTAAAATAAAGGGATGCTCATACACTTTGGCCCCACAATTCCTCTTCTGTTAATTCATCTGGTAACTCATGCAGATATACTGGTCCATGTGTACAAATAAATACCCTTGGACAAGAATATTAATTGTGGCATTATTTATGACAGTGCAACAAAATATTAGAACTAAACTCTTCTTGGCTCAGCATACCAAAGTGAATGTGCCATAGCCCACTCCCTCTCAATAGATTGGCAAAGGAATTTGACCAAGAATCTGTTCAATGTTTCTTGGACTGCTCAGCCACATCAAGGTTGAAAACAAGGTCTGAGACTACGAGGGTGGGGGATTTGAGGGGGGGATTCTTTAGAGAGAGTTGTTGCCTTTCTGAGTCCTCACTCCACAATGGGGGGACCAGTGGGGGAGGCTGTTGTCAAGACTAGGAAGAGGAGTTTCAAGGAACCTCTTGGAGAGCTTGAAGAGGCATTTCCAACAGTATGAGACACAGAAGACTGGTGCTTGGCCCAGGGCTGGGGGTGCTAAAGGGGTTTGGGAGTGTTAAAGTGGCCTGGGGTCAGGGGCTGACTCCCCTGAGAAATTCAGAAGTCAAAGAAGGCCTGCCTTGTGGCTTTGGCTGTAGATACCTGCAATCACTGCTATGTAGGGATCAGGGATTGTTAGGACAAGAGATTATGAGTGTTTCCGAGTCTACATACGGGCCATGTGCCAACGAGAGGACCAGCGTAAGGTTCCCCGGGATGTGGTTCAATAGGGCTGCCCAGAGGGCCAAGGATGACTTGGTAGAAAAAGGTTGGAGATACCTCCATATGCTCATGACAAGAAAAGAGTCCCAAGGGACAATCAGGGACAGGTCAGGAGAACTGCAGGGAAGAGGGGCTTTCTAGGGAACCTCCAACAGACCCCCAAAACTCCCTAAGAGAAAGAGGCAGTGTGAGCCATCTGCCAGGGGCAGAAAATTCAAGATCACCCAGCAAATAATAACCACCTTCTCATCCCTTTACCTTTCCTTGCTCATTTACCCCCTTTTCTCCATGTCAACTCTCACAGGGTGTGAAATAGCAAACTAGTGGGGGGACAATGAAAGGAAGAGAGGCAGACGGACCAAGGCCCCTTCTCCTCTGCAGGCTTCCCCCTGGAAGCCAGCCAGAGTTGGGGGCAGGAAGAAGATGTAACACTAAGTTCAGGGGTTTGGTTTATTACATGGGAATAGATATTACAGTTTCTGAATTGAGGCTGTGTTTTTGACGAAAAATGAAAATCCACGAGAACTGCCAGCGTTTTCAAGCAAAGGCAGGAAGTGTTAACCTAAAGAAATACTTTTAAAGGGATGATGGAAGAAAAAAATAAAGTTTTATTTTGATTATGTCATGAGGCATGCTTGTTCAACATACCAGTTACAGCAGTAAAACACTGGGAAAACTTAAAGACCCACCCAAAAAAGACTGGATAAATACACTGATGTATCCATATAATAAAATAGTATGCTGTTGTTAAAAATAACAAGGAAGATCTTTGTGCACCGATAAGGAATGATCTCTAAATAACGTGTTCAGTGTGGACAAAAGCAAGGTATAGAACACTTTGTGTAGTGTGCCACTCTATATGGAAAAAAGGGTGGGGGAATGTAAAGTACGCCTATGGTTTATGCTAGAGTGTCTCTGGAAGGTTACCTAAGAAACTGGGCACACATGTGCCTCTGAAGAAGACTGGAGACCGGGGAGCAGGTATGAAAGGGATGTCTACTGTCTACCATGTGCATTTGTTACTTGTTAAAATAAATTGTAGCATTACGGAAGAACTAGAAAAAAACAGGTGATTATTTATTTATTCAAATAAAACCTGAGTAGTTTCATAGTTTAATCTTAACATGGAATAACAATTAAACAGAATCTATATAGAAAAATAGAACTGAAAGGAGTTTAAATCTTTACTCTTGAGTAAACACCAACAGGCTGGAGTGACAGTGTGTGCCTGTGTGAGAGAAGTACATTTTTAATGAACCACAAAACATTTAAAAAATGCTCTCCCCATCTCTGCCATTCTCTATGTCCTCCACATGTACAACAGCTGGTAGTTACAAAATTTGGTATTTATTCCACTCTTAAACTCCCAATCAAAATTCATTCTGAAACTGAGAATGCATGGCTCCATTCCCCCACTCCTTCTCTTTTGTGGATATGCACTTTTTTCTTTTGCTAGCACTATATCTCTTTCCCATGTGAAAGTCTCCTACCTCTCTTCTAGCTCCTTCTGATTCTGCAGCTCTTTCTACCAAGTATTTGTAAACATAACAAAAAATCAGGCATCTAAACAAACAGACACAGCATATTCTTTGGCGTGGAGGAGGGTGAGGAGGCTACCAAATATTCGTACGTTGACCCTCTGACATTTATGTAATGTTAGGATGGGGCACACCTTTCCAAACATAAAACTATATATAAAGGGGAAAGTGTTATATTTAACTACATTAAGAAAACAACTTGTGAAAAAACCTGGTACAGGGATTTTTTTGATCACGTATCAAGACATTATAAAGATATAATTAATATAATGTGTTGTTGGTGGAGGGACTGACAAGGGGACCAATGGAACAGAACAGAGAGCACAGAAACAGACTCACTCATATGTAGAAGGCTGATGTGACAGAAAGGGCAATAACAAACCAGTGGCAAAAGGATGAGCTATTTAATAAAAGCCACTGAGACAGCAGGTTATCCATATGGGAAAAAAATTAGATCTCTACCTCACACCACATAAAAACTAAATTCAAGTAGATTAAAGGTGTAGCCAGCCCTGATGGTCTAATGCTTAAGATTCAGCGCTCTCACCAGCATGGGTCAGGTTCGTTTCCAGTGAGGGAACCATACCCCTGTCTGTCAGTTGTCATGCTGTGGCGGCTGCGTGTTGCTGGGATGCTGAAAGCTATGCCATGGGTATTTCAAATACCAACAGAGTCACTCATGGTGGACAGGTTTCAGCAGAGCTTCCAGACTATACAGATTAGGAAGAAGGACCTGGCCACCCACTTCTGAAAAAATTGGCCATGAAAACCCTATGAATAGCAGTGGAGCATTGTCTGACATGGAGCCAGAAGCTGAGATGATGGTGCAAAAAGACTGGGCAGGGTTCTGCTCTGCTGTCCACAGGGTCACTAAGAGTCAGAATCGACTCTACAGCACTAAAAAGCAAAAGTTTTTAACTTTTAGAAGAAAATATAGGAGACTATCTTTGTCATCTTTGGATAGGGAAAGACATGCAGTCATGCTCCACATAACGACGTTTCAGTTGACGACAGACCGCATATACGACAGTGGCTCCATAAGACGAGTACCATGTAGCCTAGGTGTGTAGTAGGCTATGCCATCTGGGTTTGTGTAAGTACACTCTGTGATGTTCGCCGAACGACAAAATCGCCTAACTACACATTTCTCAGAAGGTATCCCTGTCATTAAGCTGCTCACAACTGTACTTAAAACACATGAACACAGACCAAACCCTGAAGAAAAAGATTGATAAGTGGGCTTACACTAAAATTTAAGATATTTCTCAACGAAGACAACATACAAATTTACTAAGCCAACCATAGACTGTAAAATAATCTGCAGCATGTTTAACTACAAAGGAATACTACAATTCAATGAGAAAAATAAGTAAAAGAATGGGCAAAGCATGTGAGGATTTACGGAAGAGGGAACCCCAATGGCCGTGGCCAATAAGTGTATGAGAACATAACCAAATTGACTTGGGGTCAGGAAAATGTAAAATAAAATAATGAGATAACACTTTGTACTCATAATATTGACAAAATTAAAAGTCTGATAATACTATGAGTTGGAGTTGAGAAACAATATTCAAGAGAGAGTAAGATGGTAGCACTGCTTGGGGGAGCTATTTGGCACCATCTAGGGACTCTGAAAATGTGCACACCAATTACCCAGACAGTCCACATCTCGGCATGCAGCAACTCTTGCACCTGAACATAAAGAGTTATGTACAATAATATTTGCTGAAATTTTGTTCTTATAATGAAAATTTAGAAGAAAAAACTCTAAGTGCCCAACAACAGGAAAATGTGGGTGTATTTATAAAATAGAATGCTATGCCTCCATTAAAATTATTGAATTACAGCTGTATATTTCAATATGAATACAATTCCAAAACCTAGTGTTGAGCAAAAGCAAATTAAAGGACACCTACAGTATGATTTCATTCAGGTAAAGTTTCAAAACATAAAACATGCAAAACAGTATCATATACATTGTTTACAGACACTCAAGTCATATTGCTACTAAAACATGCATGAAAATGATATACAAAAAAATTAGGATAGTGATGACCACAAAGCACATCAATTGTAATAGAAAGATTTTTGTTGCTTTAAAAAAAAATCTAAGGCAAATTGACAAGTTGTTGATATTTCATAAGGCCATATGAAAGAATACACAGATATTATATCATATTTCTATATGTCATAACACAAACCGTGAAAAAATATTTGGAAAATGTATGACAAGAAGGGGTTAATATTATTTTTATATATTGACTACTTGAAATTCAATAGCAAAACTACACAATCGCCCCTCATGAAATCTAAACTAGACAAACTATGGAAATAGGTAGGTCTCAAAAGAAGGATAGAATTTCCAGTTGTGTCCAACCTCCCTAGTAATCAAAGAAACTCATATTGAAATGAAATGCCTCTTTCTTTATTTTTTTTCAGATTGGCAAAGATGAAAAGAAATGATAAAATCAGCAGTGGTGAGAGTGAAGACAGAGGCATGCTCCAATGAAACGAGCAAGATTCTAAATCCCCCTGTAATCATTGGTAGGACAATATGGCATAAATCAAATATTTTTTAAGAACATGGATCATTTGACTCACCAATTCCATTTCTAGGAATTTATTCTAAGTGGAGTAGGGGCAGGAATCAGACTATTCTAAAAAGAATGTTTATTGCAAGACTATTTAGAATATCAAAAATTGGAGACAACTTAGATGTCCTAAAATAGAAGCTTGAGTGAATCAATTATGAACAAAGGCATAAAACAATATAAAAATATGATGTAGACATAAAATACTTTCATGATACAGAAAGTTTAAAATTCACATTAAAAATATTGCCTATGCTTATAATATCTATACATCCTTTTATGGTTAAATATATATATAGAGAGATATATACACACACATAAATACATGTATTTCCATAGAAAACATCTAAAAAATATATGAAAGTGTTAAATAGGCACTTGCATTTCAGGTGTTTGATCTTTTAAAAATTTCCTAACATTTGTACTAGGCCCGTATATTACTTGTGTATAAAAAGGAGACAAAACTAGCACAGGCAAGAATGCACCCTTCCTCTGAATCTTGAGGGTCATTCTCTGCTCCTTGTTGGTCTAAATACTATAAAGAAAGCGAAAATTATCATTATTTTAAGATATTACCATTTGCCTAAGAAAACAAAAGCAAGTCAATTCAAAGCGTATTAGAAAAAATAAGAGTGGACAATGACTTGTTAAAAAATAGATATCAGATCCCAATGGCTTTCTTATACACCAAAAATAACCAACCAGGAAACATAGTGAAAAAAATATATCACCAATAGCAACAAAAACCATAGCATATCTAGGAATAAGCTTAATAAGTATGGTGGGGGCCTATGTGAATGCACACCCACACACACACGCACACACACAACCCCCTCTTACACATACATACACATACTTCCCCACATATATCCTCTACACTGACAGCCATACCCAGAAAGAACTTTATTTTTATTTTTATTTTTTTTGTGAGGAGGACTAGCCCTGAGCTAACATCTGATGCCAATCCTCCCCTTTTTTCTTGAGGAAGATTGGCCCTGAGCTAACATCCATGCCCATCTTCCTCTACTTTATATGGTGCATTGGGGCACACCCGGGATCCGAACCTGCGAACCCTGGGCCGCTGCAGCGGAGCACGCGCACTTAACTGTTTGCGCCACCTGGCTGGCTCCCCCAGAAAGAACTTTAAATGAGATTTTAATAAATCGATATTTTGGAAAAACTGACATTAGTACACTTAACATATCCCAGTCAAAATCTCAGTGTGATTTTAGGAGGTGGGGCAATGGTCAAATTTACTGTAAAATTATCCTGAAAAAAATAAACCCCTCTCAATACTGAAAAAAAGAAAAAGGAAAAGTGATTTGTACTCTCAAATATTAGAATGTACTTCAGAAATATAATAATGAAAATAATGTGGCTGGGGTCTAGAACAGAATAGAAAGCTCAGAAACCAACGAATTAAATGTTAGAATTTAGTACATATGTAAAAGTCTCATTTCAGATCAATAGAAAAATGATTCGTTTTTTTAAACCGGTGTTAGGACAACTGATGAAACATTGGAGACAAGTGAAATTAGATCCCTATCTCACATGGTATATTAAAATAGACTCCAATTATATTAAATAATTAAGAGTAAAGTTTGAAATCACAGATGACCTAGAAAAAAATCTAGGTATTTATCTCATCTCAGGATTAGAAGGCCTTTCTAAAACTACTCACAAGAGCAGAATCCACAAAGAAAGAGATAGAGACATTTATCACGTAGGTAAACATTAGCACATTAACAGAAAACACCATTTTCATAGTGGGTTCCCTGGGAAGTCAACTCTGAGATGGGGCCTGTAGGAGGTTGATTAGTGATGTTCTTGGGAATATCAGGTGTGCAAGAGGATTGTGCAGTGAAAGACTGAGCTGTGTTGCATCTCAGTGAAGGCTGGGCTGACCCCACAGGGAGCTCTGAAGCTAGGATGGCAGTTAAGAGTTGTCCCAAGTTTGGGGAAGGGGCCTGGCCTTTGCATCCTTGGATGTGGGCTCCTCCAGGAATGGGGCATTGTGATGGTTTAAAAATATGTCCACGGGGCCGGCCCTGTGGCTTAGTGGTTAAGTGCGCGTGCTCCGCTACTGGTGGCCTGGGATCGGATCCCGGGCGCGCACCAACGCACCGCTTGTCCGGCCATGCTGAGGCGGCGTCCCACATACAGCAACTAGAAGGATGTGCAACCATGACATACAATTATCTACTGGGGCTTTGGGGAGAAAAAGGGGGAAAAAAAAAAGGAGGAGGATTGGCAATAGTTGTTAGCTCAGGGCCGGTCTTCCTCAGCAAAATAAAGAGGAGGATTGGCATGGATGTTAGCTGAGGGCTGATCTTCCTCACACACAAAATATGTCCATGAAGGGTCTGGCCCAGTCGCATAGTGGTTAAGTTCAAGCGCTCTGCTTCGGCAGCCCGGGGCTTGTGGGTTCAGATCCTGGGCACAGACCTATGCACCGTTCATAAGCCATGCTGTGGCAGCATCCCACATACAAAGTAGAAGAAGATTGGCACAGATGTTAGCTCAGGGACAATCCTCCTCAAGCAAAAAGAGGAAGATTGGCAACAGATGTTAGCACCAATCTTCCTCACCAAAAAAGAAAGAAATAGGTCCATGAATATTTAACATTCATCTCTTCAAAAGGTGGAGCCTACCTCTCCTCCCTTTGAATGAGAGCTGGACTTTAGTGAGTTGCTTCTGACAAACAGAATATGGCAGAAGGGATGGCAAGACCCGGTCATAACAGACATTGTGACTTCTTCTTGGGCTTCTCTCTTCAGGGAAGAAAAGCTGCCATGTTGTGAGGACTTTCAAGCAGCTCCATGGAGAGGTCCACATGGTGAGAAACCAAGGTCTCCTGCCCACAGCCATTTTAGAGAGTCACCTTTAAAAGCTACTCCCCTAGCCCCCCAGTCAGAACTTCAGAGGACTGCAGCCCTGGTCAGTATCTTGACTGCAACCTCATGAGAGACCCTAAGCCAGAACCACCCAGCTAAGTGGCTCCCAAGTTCCCATCCCTCAGAAACTGCAGGATAATAAATGTTGTTTTGAGCTCCCGTGTCTTGGAGTAATTTATTGCATAGCCTCAGATAACTATTACATCTGTGATCTTGGGCAAGCTTGTTCTGAGAGCTGACAGGTTTTTGCTGGCCACATTCTCTGCTACTGGGAGATTAAGCCCTGCAGTCCTAATGGGAAACCTGGGAGGTACATCACAGAGTACCCCCCAACTACAAAGAAAACACATGGCCAAATGATAAACTGGGTTAAAAAAGATGTGTGTAACCCAAACATCAACTCCTGGTGCTCCTGGGCATCTTGA